CAACTACTAGGTCATGGCCCCAAAAGTCTCCCACATTGGTTCCTGTAAATTCTCTACTGCCCTGTTCCAACCAACCAACTAAATAAATAAATGGATAAATAATGAATTATTTGATTAATTCATAATTGAATGAATGAATGAATGAATGAATGAATGAACATATAGCTTGCTCCACCTTCCTTATTTACTTCTGGATAAAGTCCTGACTAATTTTACACTAATTGAATATCAATATTTATTTATTAACACATCCAATTATGGAAGTAAAATGGGTTCCGAACAGCATTTCGTGTCGAATGAACTAAACTCAAATGTGTTTCATGTTTATGTCACATAATTGATAAATGTATATACAAATTGTTCCAGCTGAATGTAATATTTGACATCATGATTTAGGTGTTAACTCTTCCTGTTTGACCCTTAAAATATAAATCACTGGTCAAAAGGGCTGCAAATAGATTTATGGCCCCAAAAATCAGATAACACAACACACTTCAGAGCTTGAAGGCATCTTTCACACACTCACTCTGTTCTTGTTTCTGACTAAAAGGTTTCAAGGCCAAAGCACTGGAAGTTGAGGCGGGCCAGTAAGCGAAAACATGTGTCTGTAGCCCTCAGCTCGAGCTCAACATTAATTTGTGTTTGTGTAGAAAATTGCCCTGAGAGAGATGAAAATATATGGCCCTTGGCTTCTGGGAATGGGTTGACAGCTTTGAGGTTTGAGCTGGTTGTATGATGATGGTTTAGCTGGTTGATGCTTGTACTCATCTTCAGTTGAGCTAACCTGGTTTCAGTAGAGCTGACATTTTCAGTGTTTTCTTTGAATGGAAATGGTTTTATCTTTATTGAAGTTATTTAAATATTGGATTTGCCAAATAATGCCTTTTCAGTGCCCCTGCTTTTCAAATATACATGAACCAACTGTTATAAATAATGTGATTTACAGTATATTGTTATTAGCTCAAACATTCTGCTTAAAAATATGCAATATTATTTTTAAGTATTTTAACCAAAACTAAATCTTTCAAACAAAATATATTAATTATTATTATACTAAAGGGCTTTTGAATGCTTGAATCTGATCGGATGACAAACGTTAAGGTGTGCTATTGTTTTTAGGGAAACGCACGGCTAAAGGACGCCAAATGATTTCAGTTATTTCAAAGGTCCTTACAGCCGACAACAGCAAAAGAACCAAAACCCACAATGACACTGACCAAGTAAATAAATATAGTAAACAATGGGATAAAAAACATTTCCATGTTTTTTGCCACAAAATCACGTTTTATTATGTAAGGAAAGCATATATTCTCTCTCTCTCTCCCACTCAAATGTACACACATACAGTACGAACACACACTCGCACAGAAACGTGTTGTCAGCGCTGCTCTGAAGATTTTATCAGTAAAATTTTTTAGCAACTTAAAAGCTACATGACATTTCTCACTAGCGAGGTAATGACGGCATTGTTCTTGAAGCAGATAAACTAAAGTGTCGCTATTAGTAGAGACGCTGCTGCCGAACACTGTTGAGAGATGTACAGGCTCAGGTAATTCACACACTCACTTGATAACTCTCTCTCTCTCTCTCTCTCTCTCTCTCTCTCTCTCTCTCTCTCTCTCTCTCTCTCTAATAACTGCATTAATAACTGCATTAGTCTACTATCAATGGCTCAAGCGTCCGTTACAAGCTCTAAAATGACGTTTTGGAATTAGCAACGGAGGCTTGGGATGAGATGCATAAGAAATTAGTCCCACATACAAGAGTAATTAAGGACAAAAAATGACTGACTCCATCAAATTATTAGAGAATTAGAAATAATTTAACGGCCCGTCGTCACTGAAAAAATGGAAACTGTGTCATCATTTACTTAACCTCATAAAGCCCAATGGGGGCCCAATGTTGTTTCGCAGAAAAAAAGAAAGTCAGACCGGTTTGAAAAAGACATGTGAGTGAAAAAATCAAACAATACACAACAGGTTCAAAACAGCCTCAGCTGGGTCAAAATGTATGATATTCACAAACTCTCTGCCATGATTGTATATCAGTGCATTGATGTACTGTGATAATATGCACTCAAAATATATCTGATGTGCTGCATCTTAATGCATCAACACAGTAGGCTTTTTAGACATTGTACATCAAAAAATATGAACCAATCACCAGTTAGTGTGCGTATGTTTAGGAATGTTCATAGGAGTGTTATTCATGTTAATATACATAACAGCAGTCTCTAACTTTTCCCTGTCTGATGTACCTCAATGTCCACTCCTGTTGAAACCAACAGAAACAAACAAAAACCAGTGCAAAAACAGACTGTCTCTGTGACAGACTTTTTCCACGCCCCAGGGCACCTGTTGTCCCATGACAGGCATTTAATACTTGCAAAACGTCCAGCGCTGCTGCCTGCTTTCTCAGGAGCGCGTTCGTTCACACAGCTCTCACTTGTGCTTTGCTTTTCGCTCTATGAACTGTTTTATCTCAATTTAATGTTAACCAAGACCAGCCATGTACAAAATGATGGCGAGTATCTGATTGTTATGTGCAAAGAAAAATAAGCAATAAAAGTATACAGTAACATTAAATTAATCTAGTGAGTATAAGAAGCAATGAAATTATAACATTGCTCATTGCATGTCGTTTTCTTAACAAGATAGTTTATGAAAGTTTGATTGTCTTGACTAATGTAAAATATTTCAGATCCACTGGATGAGCAGTTTAAATAACAAAAATCAAATGTCAATAGAATTTCATGACAGAACTTTGAGGGAAATGTATTCTGAATTAGAAGAGGGAATTACATGTGAACTCTGAAGTCTAAAGCTCAAATGGGGCAGCTGAGATGACATATTGTAGATTTAAGTACTGGTTGCTAGGCAACTTTACATCCCATAATTAAAAAATAATTAAAAATGCAACAATTGGCCACAGACCCTTCATACATTTACATTTTGGTGAGTTTTCAGTAAAGGGATTAAAAGTTATAGCTGTTCAAAGTGAAATCATAATGACAGGCCAGTGCAAAAGCAAAAGATATCAGGCCGGAAAGTCGTTGTATGTTCTAATGCAAACACTTTTTCTTGGTTTGTCTAAAACATTTGACATGAAAAAAGACGACTGATGAATGAGCACTTTCAATAAACGGCGTCAGAAGAACAGAGCCTTCTTGCAGAACGGTCCCCGACGTACTTAAACACACACTTTGACATCTCAACAATGACACGCAGATCAAAGCTCAGTCAATATTTACATCAATCTCCTCTACCCCCGGTGAAGAAAGAAAGAATTGCATTTGAAAGACTTCTGCTGGTCTGATCTACACAGACTCATAATGAAACTTTGAGGAAAAAAAGACTTTCCATAAAGTCTTTATGAAAATTTGTGTGAAATACCTCAATCTGACCAATAGAATTTCCATGATATTCAATGAACACAAAGATTCGCTAGCGAGATTGTATTAAAATTTTGTTAGGACACGATCAGTCCTCACTATATTAATAAGATTAGCACAAAATTATCTTCAGTGTTTAATAAAAATAGGAAATGGACATGTACTTCAAATATGAAACTGAAGTCATGTGATGTATTGCACAACGCAATAAAATTCCCTACAACATTGGCAGGATTAAAAGAGATCCAATCCCATGCACTTGCAAATGTCTAGAGACAAGGCTCAAGACGTTTCAATATGTTTGAAAGGTTGCGGTACATGTGTTTGCAATCCAATTCCCAACCATGAGCTATGCTTCCTCCAAAGCCTGAAACACAACTCTCTCCAGTTATTGATTCACGTGAGCTGCACAACGTTTTATGAGCGAACATTTGAGTCCTCCTTTGCGTCATCATTCACAATCAGGGGACATATGGCATGCCTTAGCGATTAGCATGGACTTAAACCCAACAGGCTTCCAGCTGACATGGAGAAACCCAATACTGTACGGAGCGCCCCACTGCATCACTCTCCACACACGTTCCCATCAGATACCGCTGGACTGAGAACTGTCACAGGACACATGGGAAACGAGCATTGCTTTTCCCGTTTGGTAACGAACTGCACGCTCTATGTGGTTCCGCTCGTGCTGAAAGTGTCCCGTTTGGGGCAAAATAGCTTTGCTAATGTGAGTGGAGTTTGTATTACAGCTCTGATTGAAGGTGCACGTCAGCACCAATCACTCAAGACGGATCACATGTATGTCATACGTCCTTAACTGGTGGGTCGCGATCAAGAAATGGGTTGCAGGTCACAGGGAAAACTCAAAAACAGTGCTACGTTTCAACAAGGCGAGTTAGGATAGCATAAATAAATTCAATTATAATGATTACATAGGGAGCACTTTTTTTTACAGTCCTGTTCCCCATGTACATACTTAATGTAACTGGGTAATAACTAGGTAATAACCCTGAACCTACCCCTGAACCTAACCTTAACCCATGTAGTAACCTTATATTACCCGGTACTTTCTTAGGTAAGTACATGTCAAGTGCAACCATTATTTAAAATATAAGTCATGTTGTTTTTGGTCATGCCTTCACTTTAACCATGGTATTTAAGTGCAAATTCATCTGTCAACTAGAAGAAGCAGCCAAATCAGATGTCAGGCGTGCGCTTATCCGCATAAACCACGAACAAAACTACTTAAGATAAAAGCAAACATGCTACAGACATTAAATGCAGGTGCACTTAGAATAAGCATAAATGGAAGACCAAAATGTGACTCTCGTTGATCTGTATGATCAATGATCTCTTGTTGACTTCTGAATGATCAATAATATTGGAACTGTGTTGGGTTTCCACTTGATGTCCTGACGCAAAACGAGTTGTCAGAGTCTGTTATTAACCTTAAGCCTTTCATATCTCCTAAACCCGGCATCAAACAATAATCTTACAGCGTCCTTTTGAAGATATTTAAAGTAATCAAAGAAAACAGCTCTTAAGATCTATTCGCAACACCTCGCTGTCTCAGCAAAAGCAGGTGATGGAAGAGGGAGGGCGTACTCACAGGTAAGACGTCAAAGGACTCAGGTCAGGTGGCACACTGGATAGTCCCTGTTCGGAGCAGTCGACGAGCAGTAGGATGCCATCCTCCTCACACTGGCACGCAGACGGGCACTGCTTGACAGGCACCGTGGCCCCCGGCGGCCCGTGAGAATGGGCACACGAGACGGCATGCAGGATCAGTAACACCACCAACATGACAATGACTCCAACTCTTGTCTTTCTGTGGATGGGCTGTATGTCTGTCTCTCTGCAGTCTCACTCAGCTGTAGCTCTATTTGTCTGTGGGTATGTGTCTGTCCTCTCTCAGCTCTCGGAAATGTTATCCTAAGCCTCGTCTCTGTAGATTTATTCTGTCACTTCAAACTCCCATGGGTGAATGAGTCAGTCAGGGGCTTACGCAGGTCTTCTCTCTCTCTCTCTCGTCTCATCTCACTTAGGAGACATTCACCTATTGTAGTGGAAGCTTGCAGCGCTCCTCTGATTGGCTGGAGCTTTTGGAGGGCGGAGCCGCCCGGCACAGCACTCCTCCTACTTTCTCTCGCGCGCTCTTTCTGCCTCGGGCAGCTGGAGTGGATGGTTGGAAGAAAGCAGGGGAGCCGATCTCTGAGAGGGGGAGAACTGACGGACAGAACGGAGATCTCAATTTCACTATGCCTTCTCATCACACCTTTAGATGTAGCACAACAATCCTTCCCTCATAATCACTTTTCTACGGCTGCTGAGATCCAGAGTTGCACTAGATCCTGCAGGGTAAATTTAGCCGTCCGTCAAACACTGACCACTTCTCCTGCTGTTGCTCCTCGTATAAATCACATGCAAATATTGTTTCGCTCCATTTCTCTTGGAGCAATGCTTACATGGTGTTTTATAACCCGAACAACAATAATTGAGTTAAGCTGCGGGCTCCCCTCAGCCAAACAAACTACAGATTTACTACTTCACTGTCCCAGCTTGTACAGCGGGGTGTCTTTTCACCGCAAGAGGCATGAATATCCTATACAGAGCGAGAGACATTTGCATTGCTTGCTCGGTGGGTCTCACTTTAACTAGTGGGAGCAACGGTGATAAATAGTGCTGTTTATTCATTTGGAAAAGTGGACAATGGAATTTTCCAGATCGCTAGGTGATAAATACTATCTGTTTATGTCTCGAAGGATCATGGGAACTCCTGATCGATTGCCGTCAAGGGTCCTAGGAGTGGCAACAGCTCAATTTTACCTAAACATTTCAGAAAAACACTAGAAAGATGTACCACAACATCCACGTTTCCAGGAAATGTCCAGGATATTTCCAGAAGCTGTGTAAGGCTTCCTTCAAGATGTGACTCCAAACATCTGTAAAACTCCTTAAGTACTGTCACTGTGGCCGTATTATCATACACATGATGTTTTATGTTGTGAATTGTTTGTAATATTTATGTAATGTGGATCATCTTCTACAATGCTAAGTTGGCATGAGTTTCTGGAAAAGTTCCCATTAGAAATCTTGCGTAGTAGTGCCCAAAGCACTGTCCTCTCTTGTTCTGCTTCATTCTATTTTTTTTTAGCTTGTTTTTGTTATGTTCATGGGGGGTCTCGATTGTTAGCGTGACACATTTCCCTTTTTGTGAAACTGTGGCCAGTTTCAGAGAATCAAATAACATTAGTTTGAGTGCTTCAGTTGTTTTGCATTAATCTTAGTCATCACATCTGTTTCAAAATCTTCCTTTCTAGGAGTCGATGCTTTTTATGCTTTCAGCGTTACAGTCCAGCATGAGGATCGCCAGCGCTGCTCATTCATCTGTTTTAGAGTCATTCACAATGGGCTCAAATGAATTCCACTAATTCATTAAAATTCCTCAGCTGAGCCTATTTTCTGTGGAGCCTTTGTTACATTCCCTCAAAAAAAAAAGAACTGTAGTCATTGATGCGCATTATGTCTGTATTATCCACACACACACACACACACACACACACATACTCACCAGCAAAACTCTCACACACCAAAACACCATCAAGAGCCCAATTCTCATGCAAACGTTCATTGCAGTAATTGCTTTGCCTGAGGACAGCCTCAATATAGATTCACAAACATGCAATACTCCCCTCTCTCTTGGTTTAATTTATGTCAGTTCAGTTGCCAGTCTTGTCATGCAAGAAGTGATGAAATGTAAGAGATGCTGAATAAAAAAATTCTGCTAGCACTTTATTTTACAGTTCTGTTCCCTATGTACATGCTATGCAATTACAATTACTGCATAATAACTAGATAATAACTCTAAACCTATCCCTAAACCTAACCTTAACCCATGTAACCTTTTATTATCCAGTACTGTCTTAGGGAAGAACACTGCAAGTGCACGTACTGTAAAATAAAGTGCAATCGAAATATTAAATAAATAAAACATGATGATTGCCTGTACCCTGAGGAAAGTTTAATCGCTCATAGGATGCTCTGTAGCTCAGAAGACTTAACAGAGCTTTTGTTTCTGGGGTTTTTCCCCTAACATTTCTTAGGAGCAATACAAATAGTAATGAATGAGCTACAAAATTAATGTGAGGTCAGATCATTGGCCATGGCTGAAACAGATGAGAAATGTGCAGGTTTTGATATTGAAAAAAAAAAAGAAGAGTTTTGATAAGCAAACTTTATTTTGGGCACAGTGTGAGATTACTGGAATCACTTCGGAAACTTTAGATATGATGAATGTGGGATTATAAGGGTCTTTTTCGCGAGTTTTAAAGTCCCCCAGTAGTCAATAATTGTATCCCTTAAAACCCATCTTTGATCACCAAAATGACATATTTAAAAGTTTTTTTCCTTGAAAACAAATTTCTTCATGCCTTAAAATAGCTTGAATGTAAATTCTCTACACCCTTGCCTCATTTAGTATACGTCGTGTTTATGATTATGCAAATTAGCCCCGCCTCCACACAGAGATCCACTCTTTGACGATCACACGTTGACCTGATTGGTTACAAGGTAGTTAATTGTGATGTCAGAAACACCAGCGATTTCAAACCGTGTTTTTCAAACTGTCTTTGGTTCACTGCAGTTTTAGAGAGAAAATACTCAGCAATGGTGTTGATTTATGAATTTGTACTTGGTTTGTCTTAAAGCATATTAAAAACACCACATAGACATATTTAAACAATATTAAAAGCTTGATTTTCACCACAGGATGACTTTAAATACGTCTTTATTTATTTAATCTCATTGCTCTCTAGAAGAAACAATTGAAATATTAAAGATTTCTATTTTTATTTGAGCAATATCTGTAAAAATCTGTAAAAATTAAGTAAAATTGTTCACTGCAAAAATAATTTTATTAATCTGTCTTGTTTTTTTTTAACTAAAATTATCTAAACATCCTTTAGACAATATGCATAAAATGGCACAATATATTTATACTTGCATACATATCTTGCTTATGTAATTGTATTTTAAAATTATATTAAAATGATAATTTATGTGTTTATGTTTTCTTAACGATAGGATAAACCGTGCAAAATTTTGTCACATTTATGCTTAAAACAAAAAAGAATATGAATGTTCTCTAAAAACAAGTTTTTATTTAGGCCTATGTATTGCACTTGTCAAGTAAATCTTGGAAAACTGGATATTTATACTGGAAAACTATCTAAAAAAAAAAGAATTCTAGGAAAATATTGTTTTGCCGTGCTGCAAGACTGAGGTTTGTGTTTTTCCCGTACAGCATGAATGAAATCTGCTCTCACTATTTCTGCTGAAGAGCAAAACAGAAAGAACAAGCGATCCTGAAAAGCTCAGACGCTGAAAAGCAGGGATTTGTGAACAATGTGGCGGCAGTAAAGGAGAAGTTGAAAGTTAGACGTGCTGTCACCAAACACAGCTCTGCAAACAGTTCCCACCTCTGGGCACCTGCTCGCTGAGTCGGAGGCCAAAACAGGGTTGGGTTACCTATATGGCTGGAGATACAGGGACCGCTGGAAGATTTGCCCCATTCCCTGCCCCTGAAGATCAAAGGCCTACACTCCCCTCTCAATCCCATATCCACCCACACACACTCTATCCAAGCATCGGCAATCTTTTAAGGCACAAAAGGGAAGCAGTTACCTGGCTCTCACCTGTCTGAATCTGCCACAGGTTATTCGAGCTCCGTCAAGCACGGAAGTCCATTCAGCGGCTGCCTGATGAGAGGGAGAAACTGGAGACCTGGTTCTACCCACTTACCGAGGCTGGGAACAGACAATTACGGGTGAACGCAGTCATATCTGGCTGCTATGACCACCTGCTCGGTTCACTTGAGGGAACGTCTCAGAATAAAAGCACACGGCTAGCAAAACAACTCTCAATACTTCTAAGCCTTGACCTTGCTGTGCAACATGCTGGTTAAAATGCTGCAATGGTGATCAAAATGCTACAGTGTATAATTTTAAAGTATAAAAGGGCTTTTAGTGGGCTTCCTTCCCAGATTGAAAAAAAGAAAATTCTCCCTGTGCCTGAACAACACTTCCCAGTAGTATCAGCCATTCCATTGCAAAGGTGTTCTGGGTGGTTGCTAGGGTGTTGCTAAGGAGTTCTGGGTAGTTGCCTGGCCTTTCCTATGAGCTGGATAGTGACCAGAAACTGGATAAAGCCTATGTCAAATATTTGTATATTTTTACTTATACAAAATGTGTTATATTTAAGCAAAATCACACGAGCAGAGTGCTGTGCGTTGTTCCAAACAGCAGCAGCACGACTGTGGGTGTGATGAATTTGTACAACTGTTTTAATAGTTACAGTAAAGGCAGGGTAGACGATTTTTTTCCAGAAACATTTTTGGTTATGTTGGTTGAAAGTCTATTCACATCCTGATAGCAATCGCTAAGCAAAGTGGTCTAAATTTATTTATATATATATATATATATATATATCGTCTGTGGAAGGGGAAGGACCATAAAATGCTCGTCCAATCATTGCATTCGGTCTGAATGTGCTACCAGCCTGACAACTTATGCATTTTCATACCTCCGAGCACTTCCTCGCACAGACATCAGTGTGTTTCATGCTGTGCAGAGTTAGACAGACGTCAGTAACCGAGCGCCAACAGCAGTCGCCTTTTACAGTTCCTCCTGAACCAAAACAACAAACTTATTTTGTGTTCACTACTGTAATTTGGAGGAGATGGAAACCTGTGTGGTTATACTTGGAGCGATCATGACTCAAATGTATGCGTTTCAATGAAACACTGTCAACGCAGAAATGAATCTGCAGCAGTCAGGTGATACAGGTCAGTCCTCTTTAAGTTGTTTATGTTCATTATTATTGTAATACTATGTGCTTTGAGACATGAGGTAGTTTAACGCCATCTCTCGTGAGGCTTTGCAAAATCTGCTGTATGCCTTCATGTGTTTTGGAGGAGGCGTGGCTTTGAATATACTCTGAAGAGAGGGTGGGATCTTATGCATTCAAAGCTAGCTCACTATTGCTAGCCTCT